CGCATAACGTGGTTCTAAATTATCAGGACATTACACTCAGGCCAATTATCTTGTTAACTCCTTTATCAACCGAATCAACAGTTAGACTGGCCTTGCACATCCGTACCCATTACAAACCAGAGGAGAGATGCTTAGCAGTGGAGGGACATTTTAATTGTTGATTTAAATCGGCATATTATTTAGGAAATGATAAAATGCACACATATCTACAATTACGTGGGATAGAAGTCCTCCAGACATGGAATCACATCACAAAACTGCTGTGTGGTCTTACAACTTGACCAGATGTGCCAACTATATAAATCTATATACATATACATAATGAATACACTTCCCATTGGATAAGTAAGCTCAAACTCATGAATAATTATGTGCTATTGAATCGTCATAGAAATGTATTAGTAGAAAAATATGTAACATCCAGAGAAATTAATTTTCAAACAAGAAATCAGAAATGGCAAATAATAAATATAAACCACCCAGTTCCCCCCACAATTAAAGGTAACCGACAATTTTTGTCTTAAATATTGTTCAACACGTTCAAATCTCTGAAATTCTCATAGAGTTTCCAACCAGGGAATTGAATTGTGCTTCAATTCAGTTGAAAATATTTATTTAAAAAAAAGATCATTTGTATTTGGATTCAAATTATTATATACCAGATGAATACGTTAAATTAGACATGAACATGTAAAACAAGACATCTACAAAAATAAACTCTCCTGTTGGATTTCACAGTGATTTTACTACTGCATCGATAATAAAACTAGCTAAGGAACATTTATTTCTGAACAATAAGGTTTGGTGCCTACATCATTAATGACATATGACCAGATGTTTTAAAATACTTTGCCAGATGTTTGAACAGAAATGTGGTTTGTTAGCGAAAGTACTCAGCAGCACTAATGATGGGAATCGCCACAGATCTTAAGGCTCTCCAGAACTAAGCCATTCACAGATGGTTATGATCTTGATGTCCCAAACCTTCGGATTCCACAACCCTATCTTGAAAGATTTTTCTAATTTGAATGACCTCACCCTATTTGTCATCATTTACGATGTTTAACACCACTATTTTCCCCACATGTGGCAATGCAGACTTCTTTGTCGGCTGAGTGATTATTGTTTTAAGGGTTGATGCCACTCCTTGTCATGTTTATTTCTGTTTGTGTCAGAGCCCTAGAAAACACCAGGGTCTGGTAGTCTGTCGTGTTTTGTTGGTTTTGACTCGATGTCACTTTCAAGTTCTAGTCATGATTAGTCTTGTCTTTGTGTCAGAGACCTCACAACAATGTTTCTTTCCTGTCTTGTGTTACGATTCCAGGGTAGTCCTTCCTTTTATTTTAAGATTTTAGAAAAGATTGTGTCTGCCCAGTTATGTAGTTTCCTGAAAGAGAACAATATATTTGAAGAGTTTCAGTCAGGTTTCAGGCCCCATCATAGCACAGAAACTGCACTAGTAAAGATCACAAATGATCTTCTCTTAGCTTCAGACCAAGGCTGTGTCTCTCTCTTAGTTTTATTAGATCTTAGTGCTGCATTCGACACTATTGATCATGACCTCCTACTAGATCGCTTACAAAATCTCATCAGGGATCAGCATTAAAATGGTTTAAATCATATCTGTCTGATCGTTACCAGTTTGTAGATTTAAATGGAGAACAATCTACTCTAATGCAAGTAAAATATGGAGTTCCACAAGGCTCTGTCTTAGGACCCCTACTTTTCACATTATACATGCTTTCCATAGGTAATATTATTAGAAAGCATGGAATTAGCTTCCACTGCTACGCCGATGATACCCAGATGTACATCTCCTCAAAACCGGGAGAAGCATCACACTTGGCAAGGCTAACAGATTGTGTTAAATACTTAAAAGTTTGGATGACTCATAACTTTCTTCTATTAAATCCAGATAAAACGGAGATCTTGCTCATCGGCAACAAGAACAGCACACAGAACACCCAGCATTTAAATTTTAGTTTAGAGGGATGTACGGTAACCGCTAGTTCCACAGTAAGAAACCTGGGAGTTATCTTAGACAGCGACTTATCTTTTAAAAATCACATCAGTCATACCATAAGAACAGCCTTCTTTCAACTCAGAAATATTTCAAAACTTAGAAACATGTTACCGTTATCTGATGCAGAGAAGCTCGTTCATGCATTTATGACCTCGAGACTAGATTATTGTAATGCATTACTGGGCGGTTGTTCAGTATCATTAATAAATAAGTTACAGTTAGTGCAGAATGCAGCAGCTAGAGTTCTAACTAGAACAAAGAAATATGACCATATAACCCCAGTTTTATCATCTTTACATTAGCTACCCATCAAATTTCGCATTGAATACAAAATAATGCTATTGACGTATAAAGCCCTTAATGGATTAGCGCCCAGTTATCTATCAAACCTCCTAACACGGTACAACCCCACACGCACTTTAAGATCTCAAAACTCTGGACTTCTAGTAGTTCCTAGAATAGCAAAGAGCACTAAAGGCGGTAGAGCGTTCTCACATTTATCCCCTAAACTCTGGAATAGCCTCCCTGACAGCGTCCGTGGCTCAGACTCACTCGCCCAGTTTAAGTGTAGATTAAAGACGTATCTTTTCAGTAAAGCCTATACTTAACTCTGTGAAAAACTGCGATCTTACATTAACTATATTAATATTACATTAAACTATATTTATATTATGAACAGCAGCTACGCTAATTCCGCTCCTCTCTTCTTTTCTTTTTTTCCATACTCATCCTGAGATTCGCGGAGGCTTCGCTCACCAGCACCTCACCCTACAACCAGATCTACCTGGAGATGTTCCGGCGCCCCCTGGACCTCAGCCACCAGCTCCACTCTTCTTCCAATACTCATCCCGAGGCTCCCAGAGGCCCTGCCCACCAGCTCCTCACCCCAACAACCAGACTCATCAGGAGAAGTTCCGACGCCGGGAGGCTCGCCACCAGCCCTCAACCTAACAAACAGATTCACCTGGGGATGTTCCGGCACCCCTGCACCTACACCTAAGACAGTCATCTTCTGTTTATACTATATTATCTGTTTATGTTTATATTATTATATCATCTGTTTATACTATATTATCTGTTTATGTTTATATTATTATATCATCTGTTTATACTATATTATCTGTTTATGTTTATATTATTATATCATCTGTTTATACTATATTATCTGTTTATGTTTATATTATTATATCATCTGTTTATACTATATCTGTTTATACTACATTATCCGTTCATACTACCATATCATCTGTTTATACCATAGTTTATCACACTGCTGTTGTTACCCAAATGAGGATGGGTTTCCCTTTTGAGTCCGGTTCCTCTCAAGGTTTCTTCCAAAGGGAGTTTTCCTTGCCACAGTCGCCCCAGGCTTGCTCATCAGGGACATGTACACCACTTAGTAATTATTTTCTTTTCACTTTGTTGAGTTTAAACTTGTTGGTTTACTGTAAAGCTGCTTTGAGACAATGTCTGTTGTGAAAAGCGCTATATAAATTAAGCGAACTTGA